TAAGTTATTAGTGCCTTAAAGACCAAGTTCTCCATTGTTTTTGGAATATACCGGTATATACCCAAATATAGCAGCGATGAAGGTTGTGAATGCAATATTGTTAAAAAAAACAACCTACAGTTCTTAGGATACTATTATTATGGTTATGTATGGGTAATCTACTGTTAGAATCACAGTCTAACACTGATGGAAACTTAATAAATTAAGTCCTAACCAAAGACTTAACAATTACAGGTAGTCTTTGAATTACAACAGTTCATTTAGTGACTCTAAAGTTACAGTGACATTGAAAAAAGTAACTTATGACCGTTTTTTCACACTTATAACCATCCTCATGATCATGTGATCAAAATTTGGACACTGGGCAATTGACTCATATTTATGACAGTTGGAGAGTCCTAGGGTCATATGATTCCCTTTTATGACCTTCTGACAAGGAAAGTCAATAGGGAAACCAGATTCACTTAACAACCGTGTTACAAACTTAACAACTGAGTGATTCACTTAACAAGTGTGGCAAGCAAGATTGTAAAATGGAGAAAAATCACTTAAATGTTTCACTTAGCAACAGAAATGTTGGGCTCAATTGTGGTCATAAATTGAGGATTACCTGTATTAAAGTAGCATCTGAGAATAGAGACAGTTCTAAGTAGGATAAGTTTTTTTGTGGGGAAAATTAGAGTGTTTAGATTTTATAAATTTAGTATTTCCATTTGTTACATCAACTCTTCATAACAATGTAAAATCACAGCTGCCAGTTCTTTAGGTATTATTGCCCTTCATTTGCATCAGGTTCTTCCCAAAAACTCTGGGTGTCAAAATATATAGACATAGTATATGCGCAGATCAAAGCAGTCTGACTTTTTGCAATTGACCGATGGAAATTTTGTCAATGCCCAGAATTTCTAAGTGTTGTGCATGCCATAATCCTTTAATTTCAACTTTCAGATCTTGACACTGTGTGATCTTTTCTAATTCTTTGTTTTATATTCTACTATCCTCTGGTATTGCCACATAAATTATTCACACTTTCTTCTTTTCTGTCACAGTTACATCTAGTACACCAAGGCCCTATCAGTTTGTATTTGGAAATCCAACAATTATTAGTTGTTTTTTTTAATCACACACACACCAAGATATATCCTGGTATACATTTCAATGTTAGTGTTATATTTGTAGGAAATATTTCTAAAAGATTTAATAGAGCTTCTGTAAGGAATATATTATTGTTGATCAAAAACCTTATTTAAATATATTTAAATGTTCTGTGTTCTGCATTAATGTGTGACATTAGCCTTTTAGTGAGGTTAACAAATGCAATGGTTCCTCATAGAAATTGATTCCTCTATTGCTATTGAAAGATACAAAAAGTAGAAAACTGCTCCAATGTGGTGAAATTAATGTGACTGTAGTTTTATAGTTTGTGATTGAACTTTTTATATAGTTTGCATGATTATGAAAAAAATTATGTGTGGACTAACATTTCATATTGTTAATTGGATTGTAAACTTATAGAAACATCAAGGTTGCCTTGGACTGCTAAATATCATTGTGCAGTGCTGTTTTGTGCTTGTCAAAACATTATAAGAGTAACTGTTCTTCCATTCCAGTTTTACAGTGGTTTCTAAAGTGCTTTTTAGAACAGGCTGAGTTAAAACTACTTGATCCCCATTATGCACCTAAAGTAGTAATAAAAAACTTAAATCTAAGATACTTAGGGCAAAATGCTGCTGTATAATACTAATTCAACAGAAAAATAAGTGTTTCTCGAACAATGCAGAATGAGACAATTACATTGAAAAACAAAATAGTTTGACAATTTAACTTGAAATTGTATGTATTTAAAATTGCATATTGCATAATTTATGCACGAGTACTTAGAACCCTGTATATTTGTGCAAGTGTTCTCAAGCCTGAATTCTGAACCAAAAATTTAATGGCTTGATAATTCTGCTATCACATTGAGATTTCTTTTTCTTTTACATGGCATGGGAGATTTTTAAAAACATATTCAGAAGACAATGCAGACTGTAATATCTTTTAAAATTGTTCCAAAGATATTACAGAATTTGCAAGTGTTAAGGAACCAAGCTGTTATATTGTATTATTTAGCATAGTAATCTGGTTTGTAATCAAAATTTTTAAAAAAAGTTTTTTATGGGGGTGGGGTGAGTCTTCTTCCATAATACTAATATATAGTACTTCCATTGTTTATAACTTTGCAATATATATAGGTAATACTCATAAGATTGGAAAATTATTTAATAAATTGAAATTAATACATCTTCTGCTGATAATGATTTTAAACCATTTTTACAATATGCCCAATATTGAGTACTTTCCTCCTCATAGAGAAAGGACGTATCGGGTAAGACCAACGTCCAATCTCTTGATTCTTCCTACCTGTAAAAGGTTTAGCCAATTACTTTAGGTCCTGTATATCTGAAATTACAGAATTCATATCCAGTACTGCCATTTACCGGTACGTTGCTCTCCAAAAACAGTTGAATATCCCCTGAAAATGGTTATATGAGCTGACATTTATGTTGGGGGTGAATAAGAAAGAGGACTAATGTCATTTAGTATCTTGGATTGAATACCTTTGCTGCAGAACATAATTTATGTGTAGAATAGACTAGGATATGATTTCTCTCCTCCCTTTACAATTTTGAGGTGTTCTTAGAATCTACCCCAAAGGTATGAAGGCTTTATGAATTAGATCAATGTTTCTTAAAGTTTTTTCTGTCAGGACTGCTTTCCGTTTTTAAAAATTGGGAATCCCAAAATAGCTTTTGTTTTATGGATTATATTTACCAATATTTAGCATGTTAAAAATTAAAATTGACTAATTCACTGCCTCTACCATGATTGTTTTATGGGCTCTTTATCAAAATAGTTTTGACAAATAATTTTGATTTTGTAGACCTCAGAGGAGGTCTTGGAGGACGCCCCCCCATCCCCAATGTGTGGTAAGACCACATTTAAGAAATACTGGATTAGATCATTTGAAATAGTGGATAGAGAAGAAATGCAATGGAGCGAGAAATTGAATAGAAAATGTTTCCTATGCAAATGCTTTAAGGTTAAATAAATATATGTTTGCATTGATAACACTGGTTACCTCTGCCTTGTCCCCAAAACAATGTACATTTTTATAACATGTTTTAAAATAATATGCCTTCAATGGTTGTGGCTGGTTTGCTTTTCTGATTAGCACCAGTAAAGCATTTATAAAATTGTTTAAAAATTAGCTAAGATATCATGGGTATTGCTACTTAGAATATTCTAAAGACTCTTTTGGACAAGAGCCTCCTATTATATTACTTGAATCACTGACTGCATCTCAGAGGGAAAAGGGGATATAATTGTAGTTTAAAGAAAGCATGGTTGCATAACATTTTAAATCATTGTTTTAAATATCAACTAGCAGCAAAATGTTGCAGTATTTAATATGAGCTTTCCAACCAAGTACTCCTAGCAACTTCTAGGATAATATGGTTCCTCCCACCCCAAGTTCCAGTCAGCATTTTGGAGATCCTGAAGGCAGTCAGTCTTGGTAGGGCTGTTGTAAAATTTTTCCATAATAGTCCCGCCTCCCCGAAATTTCAAAATTGTGAAGTTCCCTCAAGATTGTTCTTATTAATGATGATTTCAGAAACTTCAGTAGCTAGCTATGTGTGGATTATGAAGCCTGGTTCAAAAGTTACTTTTTAGACTGAAACATTCAAGAGAATAGCTAGATGGCAGCAAAGGGATGCAGAAAATGCCATTTGTTTGCTGCTATGCAGTGGTTGTTTGGATTTTTGGAGCCCAAATGGTATGCGTTTGTTTGTTTGTTAATATGGCCGCCCACTTACTCTCAGTGACTCTGAGTAACTTACAAAGAATAAAAACCCAATATAAAAGAATAAAAAAAAAGTAGACCCCTACTTTCCTAGTGGCAATACACAATCAAATGAGCCACTTGATGGGGCTCCATCCAATTCTGGGTTCCCAGGCCTGGCAGCTAAGACCTAAATCTTTAGGTCTTTATGCAAGAGTATCAAAGTGGGAAGCAGGGTAATCTCTGTGGGAATGATATTACAAATGGAGGCAGCCACCATGAACAAGGCCCTTCTCCTGGGTGCCACCACATGTATCGCCTTAGGAGACAGGACCTGCAACATTCCTTGCCTCCCCTCTCTAGTGCGTCGGATGGATGTAACTGGGAAGAGATGATCCCTCAGATAATTCAGTCCCAAGCCATAAAGGGCTTTAAAGATGACAGCCAGCACCTTGGAAAAAATGGTATTTATGATTAATTGGTCTCATGGAGCACTATTTCTTGGTGTTATTTCTCACAAACATTGCCAGTCTGATGTCCCCAGATAAGTTGCTACTTCTGGCTACATTGGCTGAGAATTCTGGAATCCTTGGTTCAACAAATCTGGAGGGAAACTGATTAGGGAACATTTGAAAGTAATGATGGGATAATATATGTAATGGCTTTGTTGTTTCATATCAGTTTAAAACCAGAAATGATTGGAGCTTTACATAGAAGACAATCCTTATAAAATGGTAATATTGAATCCAATAGAATGGCGATAGTGAATTGTTTTATTGAAATTGCTTATGGGGTTTTCTACATTATAGGGAAAAAAATTCTGTTTAACATAGGCATTTTAGATATATGCATGATGAAATAACACTGATGTAATTCAACCCCACAGATGTTATTTTTCTTATAATTGCAATTGCTCAGTGGGAAATTGAGCCTGCATCAATAAAACTAAAGCCATTACTTTTATTTTCCTCCATGAGCTAGATTATTTTCCATCACCACTATCCCATGTTCTGTAGTGAAATGGGAAAAAAAGGCCCATGCAGCCCATGCCCCTATTTGTCTGCATGCGAGACTTACCAGAGTATGACAATACTTACTATAGACTCTGTTTATTTAATAATTTATTTTTTGTTGATGTTGATGAACAACATTTGTATTTCTTTGGTCTTTCCATTGAAGCAATATTATTTAGGAGACTCTTGTTAAGTTAACAGTTCAGATAAGTTACGATATTTTTATGCTACTGCTACTACTGATCATATATCCATTGCGATAACATCTTGTAGTGGCTATATTGCCAGTTCATTAAAACATTATCCTCTTTTGGTTTTCCTTTGGCCTTGAGAGAAGAAAGATAGGAACAATAATAGGATTTCTACAGACATCACTATTCATAAGTCTGAAAAGGAGTCCAAGAACAAGTGGGACATATATTCCCATAAATGAGCAGATGCAATACTGAGACAAATTTAAAGGTAGTACAGTTAAAGAAAAAAAGTAGCTAGGGTAGCCAGGGGGAAAGATTAACCTCATTCCAAACTACAGATCATGGAGAAAATCTATATGGCCACTAGAAGATGAAAACATCTTGGTGCCACATAACACTGGACAGCAAAGATTTTGCTTCCTGAACACTCAGATGTATCTTACAGATATTTCACTGCTATTCATGAAAATAACCTGTAATTTAACCTATCATGTATTGTAGAAATCTACTGATTTTACACAATAACAATGTATACCCTTCAGTGCTGGCTGACTATTGTTGGACACTTCAGTGAGCTGCATCAGACACTAAGTGCAAACAAAAATCAGTAGCAAAACACTTAGCTATTCTTCACAAATGAAAAAACAACATACAAAAACATGGAACTGTTGTTGAAATACATCCAGTACACAAAGTCCAACTGGAGTATTGGAGATCTAAAAGTAGTGGTTCCACTGCTTGGAATGCACCTAGGATATATTAAACACTGATGCCAATGGGACAGTTGCGTAAAAGAGTCACATTACCTTAAAGCAGGGGTGTCAAAATTCATGTCACAACTGATTAATTGACAGTAATAAGAGCATGTGAGCATTGCAGTCAGATAAAAGAGCCTAAATGTTAAGAAATTTTCACATTCTTCCTTCACTGTAGTTGCATGTTCTCCATCTAAGCAGCCCAAGATCTTGGTACCCTTATGCATTAAGATCTTGGAATAGGTTTTGGATCTTAGTTCTTAGTTTTTTCATGTTCACTTAACAACATTTATGGGGAAAAAATCATAAAATTGGGTGAGGTCACAGGGTATCCTGCTTAACTACTGCCACACAACTAATTCAGGGCTCAATTATGGTCATAGTTGAAAGTTACCTGTTAGGGATTTCCAGTCAACCATTACTGTAGATGCCTCTGGTTTCAATTGTACTCAAATCTTCAAAATCTTCTGAAATTATATATTTGTATTAAAATATTTTAGCTTTTTTGTAAGTCCACCAATCATGATTTGAACTAGCTTTATACATTCTAGACAACTTTTCTGCTGACAGATACTGACAAAAACAATAGATCATTTTATCATGCATTATTTTACATGTTCTTCCATTTCATACTTCACCAAAATTTTATATATTTTAGCAATAACATGTTCCATTATTAGTATGTAGTTCTGTTTCAAACTCAGTCTTACATTGTTCAAAACCATAAAATCTTTTATTCAGTTTAAATCTTATAATTGTACATAAGAAAACTATTGACAAGTATATCCTACTGTTAATCTTTTCTTGATTTTAACAGAATAACAGAACAATAGAGTTAAAAGGGACCTTGGAGGTCTTCTAGTCTAACCCCCAGCTCAAGCAGGAAACCTTATAACTTTTCAGACAAATGTCTATCCAGTCTATCATTTAAAAAATCTCTAGTGTTGGAGCACCCACAACTTCTGGTGGCAAATCATTCCACTGATTAATTGTTCTGTCAGGAAATTTCTCCTTAGTTCTATAGGTTGCTTCTCTCCTTGATTAGTTTCCATCCATTGCTCTGCCTTCATCCATCCATTGCTCTGCTTTGGAGAATAGGTTGACTCCCTCTTCTTTGTGGCAGCCCCTTAGATATCAGAGCACTGCTATCATGTTATCCCTAGTCCTTCTTTTCATTAAATTAGACATACCCAATTCCTGCAATTGTTTTCATATGTTGTAGCCTTCAATCCCCTAATCATCTTTGTTACAATTTTCTTCACTCTTCCTGGAGTCTCAACATCCTTTTATATCATGACGACCGAAACTAATATTCCAGGTGTGGTCTTACCAAGGCATTATAAAATGGTACTAACACTTCATGTGATCTTGATTCTGTCACTCTGTTAGTGCAGGTTAGGACCACATTTGCAGCTGCATCATACTCTTGACAGCTGCAGCATACTGCCGGCTCATATTTAAGTGATGGTCCACTAGGACTCAAAGAACCCTCTTGCAGTTCTATACCTGTACATTCAGTTTTTCTTCCCAATATATAGAAACTTATTTTCTCACCTCTGAATTTCATTTTGTTAGATAGGGCCCAGTGTTCCCAGCTGTTGAATTTTTCTGTATATTGAGCCTATCTTCTGGAGTGTTGGCCAGCATGCTGTCATCTGCAAATTGATGAGTTCCTCTTTCTTATCATTTCTCATCTGTAAAGTGCTTCTTGTTCTGAAGGCCACAGAAATATTTTTGCGCACAATCTACATTTATATTTATTCCATACTCTTTAAGAATAGCTCATCTGACATAATGGTTTTTGAAATCTACATTAACTTACCTTTGTCATTCCATAGATACTTATGCCACTCAAATCTCAAATCAACTCCTTCTAACTTCAAAAGCCTTCTGTTTCTTAACAATACCTTTTCTTCTATCCACACTAAACAACAAGCAGCAAAATATAATTTCTGTTTGGTAAACTCAATTGTCCCCTTTCCTAATATTTAACTCATAATATTTTTACTATGCGATATAAATTTAGATATATCCTTCTGCTATTTAAATAGTTGCTCAGTTGTCAAAAGAGGTATCTAAAACAAAAATAACGTTTTAGGTAAAACATTAATCTTAATCACAGAAATTCTAGACAACAGTGCCAATTGCACTTTATTCAACCTTGACATTTCTTTAACTTTATCCCATATTTTAACATAATTATTTTGAAATAACATACAATTCATATTTAACATAGTTATACCTAAGTGTTTACCATCTTCTCAATCTTAAAATCCATTTTATTCATCAATTTTGTTTGATATTGTATCTTCCAATTTTTGTTAACATCTTTGTCTTCTGTTTACTAATCTTGAAACCTGTTAATGCCTAAATTCTTCTAATTACTCATTAAGTTCAATTCTTTTTAAAGGGGCTGCCAAAATTAGAACCAATCATCCGCAAAAGCTCTTATATGACTCTAATAATCTTTGCATCCATAATCCTCTCATGTGATCTTATGTCTCTATTCCATATTTCAAGACTTAAAATGAATAAAAGAGAGGATAGTGGGCAGCCTTGTGTTGTTATTTTTTGTATCTCAGGTGATTTGGTTAAATCTCCTGTAGGAAGTTAGCACCCACCCCTTTCCTGGAAGAGTGAAATATTTTAGGAAATATGAAAAAGGCAGAAATATGAGAAGCATATTTTACAGACAAAGCAGCTCCCACCTTCCTGCCCCCCACCCTTTGTCAATGGGCCATTAAGGCCTGGGCCAGTCTATTCTACATAACAAAGATCTGCCTCCTTCAGGCAGAGCCATAGTAGGAATTGCGAAAGATAGGATTAGCCCTCTACACAATAGCAGCAGAGACTCACCACATGTGACCTGGGAAGCACATGTGACCATCAGCCAGCAAGACCCCCACCCCCTGGGAGTCTGACAACCAATCAGAGTACTCTTTCTGGGCCCCAGGAAGTTCAAAGCCAGAGAGAGTATAAAACCTGAAAAACTCGCTGTATCTCCCCCTTTTCTGTTCAGGAGCTCAAGCCATGTGATCCTGTCCACCATTAAACCATCTTTCCAAGCAGTCTCCATGTTTCCAGTGTCTGTTTTCCCCACTTGGAGCAGAACCTAGAAGGATGTTTCTTCCAACACTCCATTAACAATTATTAGTGCTGTTGTAGATAGCTATACTGTTATCTCTATCGCTTAAATTGCTACCTACAGGTACCTGAATTATCCTATACCCTGAAATTGAGTCTCTACTACTATTATCCCAGTGGCTTCCCTGTTTTGGGTTCCTGGGGAATGTGATGATGAATAAGATTAAAAACTACTGAAGCAGTTGTACACACAAACCATATTTTTCGGAGTATTGTAGGAAGTTAGCACTCACCCCTCTCCTAGAAGAATGAAATATTTTAGGAAATATTAAAAAGGCAGAATATTATATTTCCCTGGATGAGAAATGGAGAAACATGTTTTAAAGACAAAGCAGCTTCCTGTCTCCCCCCACCTTTCTCAATGGGGCATTAAAGCCTCAGCCAAGCTCACTCATTTCCCCCACCTTTGTCAATGGACCATCATCTGCAACACAAAAGATCCATCTAGCAACAGAAATTCACCACATGGCACCTGGGAAGATTACATCAGCCAGCAAGGTTAGCTAAGACCCCTCCACCCCCGGGAGTCTGACGACCAATCAGGATACTCTTCCTGTGCTCCAGGAAGTTCAAAGCTCAGAGAGGGCATAAAACTAAGGCACGCTCAGCATCTCGACCCTTTTCTGTTCAGGAACTCAAACCATGTGATCCTGTCCACCATTAAACCATTTTTCCAAGCAGTCTCCATGTTTCCAGTGTCTTTTTCCCCACTTGGAGCTGAACCCAGAAAGATATTTCTTCCAACAGTATAAGACGCATCTTTTTCCCCAAAAAAAGAGGGTGAAAATCTGTGTGCGTCTTATACTCTGAATGTAGTCCCACCCAGCTTCTCAAATGGAGGTTTCAGAGGCTGAAAAAAGCATCAGAAATGAAGCTTCAGAAAAGAAGCTCCAAACAGAGCTTCAGAAAAGAAGCCCCCAAACAGAGCTTTGGAGGCCTTTTTTCTGAAGCTTCGTTTCGGAGGTTCAGAGGCAAGAAAAAAAGCAAAAAAAAAAAAAAAAAAAAAAAAAACAAAGCACAAAGCTCACAGCCAAGGAACCTGTTTCTAAAATTCAACTCTGGGAACAGCTGATTGGGGGTATTCCAGGAGGTCGATCCACCTGCCAATCAGCTTTTTTCTTATATTCTTCCCAAAACACTAAGGTGCGTCTTATACACTGGTGCGTCTTATACTCCAAAAAATATGGTATATACTATACATGAGGTGTTGTGGCCTCAGTACTCAACCGTTATATTGCACCACAAACCAAAAACATTTCTTTCTTGCCTCACAATGAGACATATTTCTTGATTCTGTGCTCTTGGAAAAGAATGAGGAATAGAATTAATCTCTTATGAGTAGGCAAATATTTTTTTGCCTACTCATGAAAAGCTTTTGTTAAAAAAAAAAAAACCTAACCTAAAGTAGATTAATAAGGAACAATGCCTAAATAAAGAAATATTTTTTAAAAATATCCTGGTTAAAGCCTCACAGCTTGTTGACTCATCTGACCAGTGTTAGAATAATTTTTCTTTTCCATATTGGAAACTAGGAAGACTTCTCACAGGATATGGACTAAAAAGCATATTTCTTAAAAAGGCAGAAGTATTTTCTGTGAGACAAGAAGTGTAGTGTAACAGGTCAATAGACTGAGAAAAAGCTGCTTTTTGATAGCTGTGGGCCATCTGTTCCCTTTCCAAAGATTTTCATTCCACTGGGCCAAATTATCCCTGAGCCAATAAGTATGCTGTCTTTTCCCTACTGGTAATCTACATCCTTTGTTGTCTTTTTTGTTGTTTATATTGGCACAAGTTTAACAGTACTTGAAAAGCAGATAAGCCTCTTTGAGAGTCAAAAGAATTATTGTGGGACAAATAATACGAATAATGTCATTTTCTTAATTTTATGGCCCATCTATTTAAAGGCTTTTGGTGTGTGTTAACAGAGATACAGTTTTTAAACCATTACTTGTCAAAAGTAAAAAAAAAAACCCAATTATTGTTTAGTTATGTGTCTCCATAAGGTACGTAAAATTAAATTTGATAATGCAGTAATCCAGGGTGGATTTGATTTAAATCGAGTTGATTTAAATCACAATTTAAATCATGATTTAAATCACTAGTAAAAAGGCTTGATTTAAATCAACTCGATTTAAATCATAATTTTTAAAGAGCAGCTGTCATCTCTGCTACTCCTTTGACCCACTGTTGACTCACCGATAGTCCCAGTGTTGCAGAATATACAGCCTCATGCTACATAACTAAGCTCCATTTCATGCTGAATAAACTAAATTATTTATGTATCTTAAATAGAAAACTATCTTACGATAGATTTTTACCCCAAAAGTTTTTTATTAAAATAAATTTGATAAAAATAAAAAAAATCCGATTTAAATCAAAAAAATCCGATTTAAATTAAAAAAAATCTGATTTTTTTTAAAAAAATCATTGATTTTTATCCACCCTGCAGTAATCTGAACTAATCTTAGGAACTATTCAACTATTGTTTTCCATATACCTTGCAGTCTTGATTTGATGCTTGAATAGTGAACTTAAATAAGGAGTTCATATCAGAGCACTATGTCGAGTTCCTAAGGCACTTCCCATTTAAGTATAACCCAAAGCTAAATTAAAACCAACCACAAATTCTGTGAAACTTTGAAACATGATAATCAGTTTAGAGAACCGATACTTGCTGGTTTCAAAGGATTGGAAAAAAAGAAAATAACCTGGCATTAAAGGAATGTCTCCCTCTCTCCCAGAGAAAGGGCATCAGTGCAGAGCGCTGCTGGTGATCCCGGAGAGTGACCTCGACAGCATGGACTGACTTGTATTAGAGGAGGAGGTCCTTGAGATATCAGGAACTAGGTCATGTAGATAGCAGGCCAATTCTAGCAGTTTGAGTTGAATCCCAGAGGCATACTGAAAACAGGTGCAGTTATCTTAAATGTGTCTGTATATTAAGTTACAGTTGGTAAACTTGTGCTGTTTTCTGACATAAATGCAACTTATGACATATACACACATGTAATATTCTTTTCCTTCAGTAATTATATTACTCTGCAAACCTGAGTTGATCTACCAAAATCAACCTAAACTACATAAAATATCTGAACATTTTTGGTGACGAAGTGATTTGAACAGTATCGTCAATAAATAATGTATAGCCCTAGTACTACAATCATACAGACATCCAAGTAAGTTTATATACAGGTAGTTGGGTTGTCAAGGACCGAGCTGTAGCAACTTTTAAAATACTTTATGAATTTAACGTTTATACCTTTTTGGGTTATTTTACATGAAAATACAACTTATAAATTTGTTCATATTACTGTGTGAAACAGTCTTTTCCCGATTTTATGTTTTTCCTCTTTATGTATTGTTAGTTATTAAAATTTATAAATAACTATTATTAAAACCAATATTTTTAGAACAGCTGTTTTTATTTTTAAGTGGGTGGTTAATCACAATCATATGAATCATCTGTAATCATTTTTTTCTTTAGTATTATTTAGTTGCTGAATTGGTTTTTTCTTCAGATATTGTTACAGGGGTTTTTGTAGTGCTAGATATAAAGACGAATTAAGCCAATAGAAACAAGAATTTCAGCAACTGGAAAAGCTTTTCATTCTGTTTATCAATGTTGTTAAAATGAAAATCATACATTTATGAAAGAGCATAGTTACCTAGAGACATAGAACCAGATTTTATAATTTACGATGACTGTTTTTATTTATGGCTTTATAGCTGCTTCCTTAAAGGCAGGGAAAAACATGTCAACCATCTATATTTCAATTTATCCATATTTACCAATATTAACTGGTTTGTTTTTTAGTTAGGTTATGTGTCAACTCGCGAAGCATTCCTGACCTGCTCTCAAGTTGCCATAGGCAGGGGGATGGGAAAACCGATCCTTGCAGCTGCATCGGGGAACTTGCATTTCAGTCAAAATAAAGCACATTCCAGCAACAACATCAAAGTAATCTCCAGGGGGACCCACACTGGCCAGAGGGAGTGACTTCTACAACCCACAAATTGCTTTGTTGGGGAATGTGACTGATGACACACTTTGGGGGGGAGGGGAAAACAGGGTCAGAGCCAAGGCGTGAATTACGTGAGGTCAGAGTTGGCTTCACTTGGATTGTGCCAACATGAAGCTCCTAATAAATAACTGGATTTCTTCTGAAGCTTGGCTTGAGGCTCATGATTTACCGTATTTTTCGGAGTATAAGACACATCTTTCCCCCCACTAAAAGGAGGTGAAAATTTAGGTGCGTCTTATACACCGAATGTAGCCTCGCCCACCCACTGGCCCCCACCCTTTGGCCTCTGCCTCACAGCAGTTACCTCCTTGCAAGCCAACAGCAAGAAAAAACAGCTCCTTTCAGCTTCAGCACAGCCTAATTAGCACAAGTTGATTAGATCGGCCTCCCGACTCTCAAGTGTTTTGCGCAGGGCTCTCCTGCTTGCTACAAAGAGGCAAATTGCTGGAGCAGATTTTTTTTCCCTTGTGCTAATCAAGCTATGCTGAAAACGAAAATGAAAGTAAAGCAGGCTGTTTGCTGCAACTAAGCAAAATTGCGCAGAGGCAGAGGAGATTTCGTTTTCTTCTTTTCCTCACCAAAAAAGGTAGGTGCGTCTTATACTCCGGTGCGTCTTATACTCCGAAAAATATGGTAATTAGGCATCGGTCGGAATCGGGGGCTATTATGAATCAAATTGTTTACCAGTGGTCCGCTTGCTCTAGTTTCACTGGTTCAGTCAGATGGGTGCCGTAGGTTCCCCCAATAGGGACCCATTGACGGGTTTGAAACTGATTGGGTTGGCCAAGTCTCTTCACTCTAATCCCTGTTACAGAACCGTGGCTAAGTTAGTCGGGCATCTAGTGCAGCCTGAGTCTATTAGGGCTTGAAAAGTGCCCTGGATCCCTGTTTTGGGGGCTGTGAGGGCGTATAGGGAAGACGAATGTCAATTCGCAAATCTGACATTAAACATATCTCACATTACATTTAAAAAGGACTTTCAGGGAAATGTGACTACTGTAATCTAAATTTTTTCACAGTATAGCTATGCAGCTTTCAAAATACCTTTGTCAAGTTTTACATTTCTTATTTACAGTAATTGGCTTCCCTCCCTAGATCATAAGATCATGTGTGCATGCCTGGTATATTAAAATTCAGGAAAGGAGGCTAATAATTGGCTGTCTTTTTCTGACTTCCTTTCTTAATATTTAGAAGAGGATTTGCTTTATAGTTTTTCTGGCACAATGTGTAAATTGCCAGAACTAAAGAATTATTTTAGTATGTTTCTTCAGAGGAACTAATAATTCTCTTGGGTAGAAGAAATGCAGTGAATATAGTTAAAGCTATAGTTTACAAAATTAATAAATGATTACTCTTGCTTATAGAAGCCCTCAAGGCAGTGTTTCTCATATTTCTTAAATGTTAACCCTTCTAATCCATATTATATATGTCACATTTCCTTTAGTGTATAAGTATAGATAATCTTTGCACAGAGCTGCGATAATATATAATATATTATATACATAATATATTATGTATATAATAATCCTGAAAAAAAAACTTTTGGTTCTTTCATATTTGTTTATTATATTTCCTCCTTAGGCTCAAGAAAGGAATTGTTTTGTTAAATAATCTCCATGAAATTATTTAGATCTGTTTCAGATAAGCTTCAGGCCTGGTTGTGCCAATTTATCAAATTTGTTGATAAATAGCATAAACTGGAAGGTCATGGAAAATTTTCCAGATCCTCTTAAACATGGCTAGGTGGCGCAGTGGCTAAGACGCTGAGCTTGTCGATCAGAAAGGGCAGCAGTTTGGCAGTTCGAATCCCTAGTATAGGTCTCCTGCGTGAGCAGGGGGTTGGACTAGACGACCTCCAAGGTCCCTTCCAACTCTTTTATTGTTATATCAACCTTTTCCAAAGTTATATATTATGTATAGTCCACTTAATATCTTTCTGAGTTGGAATTTGGGGGAATCATTTATAGTTCTAGTTTTTGAAATCCAATTTCAGACCACTGTACAATTCTGTGATAATATACTTTATACTTGTATCAATAAACAGCTGTGTAATTTACTATATCTTTGTAATAACTTAGTGTCCTATCCAGGGGCATCTGCAAGGTGATGATATCAAATTAAAATGATGGGTATGACTGGAGTCTCTGCTTTTTTTTAAATATGTGTGTGGCGCACATGAACAAAGGGGATAGTCTTTGATTGCCCAGTTAATTCTACATTTTGATGCTTTTAAGTCCTGCTATGGACATTCTTGCAAACCACGTATTTTTGTTTAATCTGAAACTAAAGTAGTTACATTTTTGTCATATTCCAGGGAAAGAAGAAGAAAAGGGTTTGAGGGTAGTGTGTTCCTTGCAAGCCAGTCTACTTTTGCTACTTTTGCTCACACCAGCCAGAAGGTAACATGCAATGTAATAACACACTTTCAGCATGCTTAGTATTCATAATTGTATGAATGATCACCTTCTGCTGTTAACATATATTACTATTACTATATTACTATTAGTCTTCTATTACTATTAATCTCCTCATCGTTTCTATCACCTATCTCCTCCCACTTATGACTGCAGGACTGTAACTTTGTTGCTTGTATCCTTACTTCTCAGTATCCTAAATGATTTGACAGCCTGTTGGATGTAATTATAGAGTATAATTAAAATAAACAACATAATGCTAATCATTTTTATATTTTGCCGGTGGCTGAAATTTTAAATTCAGCATTATCACAGTACAGTTGAAGGTTTTCATTATTATTTCTATTATTCTGTAGGTTTTCAGTCCAGTGATATTTTTGAAAGGGCACAAAACATTACTGCACAGTGTCATTCTACTTCTTTCATTATTTAATTGTATATTCTAGTAATAATGTAATCATTGCTTTTAACAAAATCTGCTTGACTTGAGTGCTCAATAATATCAGATTCAGGCAACTGCTGATGAGGGAAATAAATGACAAGTTATTTGTAGATAGGAATACTCAAGTATTAAGTTTAGGAGGGGTGGCTGCAGTGTTTCATTTCTGTTCAGTGTCTATTATTGAAAACCAGAGCACCATTACCAGATGTTTTTCTTAATGATAACTGTGCAGAGGTTTTGTTTTTCTGTTTTTTTAATTTTTTGTGCACAGAAAAAAAATTCAAGGGAAAACATTTTCTGTTTTAAAAAAACATTTTATTATTTGTCTTTGTTAGCTATTCCTGGAGGACAGGGGAAGGGAGGGGAAGGGAAGGGAAGGGGGAGGGAGGGAGGGAGGGGGAAAGGAAGGAAAGGGAAGCAGGGAGGGGGGAAGGAAGGAAGGAAGGAAGGACATTAAGAGATAAAACTTTTCCTAGAATTATTGCTTTTTTCCTCCCTTTTGAACGGACTTTTCCTTGCAACCTGTTTAAATTGCTTTCATGAACAATTGGAACAACAATTCAAAATCGTAAAAGTTGTACTAGTGTCCTTGAGTTTGCCTCAAAGTTTTGTTTTTGTTTTGCTACCTTGTTTTCCCGAAAATAAGACATCCCCTGATAATAAGCCCAACCGGGCTTTTGAGCATATGGCAATAAGGCCAAGCGCTTATTTCAGGGCTCAAAAAAAATATAAGACAGGGTCTGGGAAACACGGTATCTAAATGTGAACTCAAGATGACAGAACAGCTGCATACAGCAAAAAAATACTGATAACAATTCTACAAATGAAACCTAATGATGCAGAATTAGTTTTCCCTCCTACTTAGTCACTACACAGTTTAATTTGGAAAATGTGGAATATCCAAGCTACATGCCTA